ACTAAATAAACCTAAAATAATTATTAAATAATTAATTATTACTGTATCATACAATTTGTTCTAAGCATACTATCAAAGTGTTTTTGAAGCTCTTTCAAATTTTTGAAAACATCTTCCCCTGGCACTTTACTCTCATCAAGCTTATTGTCATGCTTTATTAATAAAGCATTCCATCCGGCGCTTTTTGCTCCAAAATAATCATTATCTAATTTATCTCCAATATGTATCGCTTCTTGAGGTAATATTTCTCCTTTGCTATGATATTGCATCAATTTTAGTGCTTCCTCAAATATTGATAAGCTTGGTTTCTCTTTTCCGAAATCATATGAGGTCAAAACAAACGTAAAATATTGACGAATTCGAATATCTTCGAGAATTGAGTCTAATCGTTGATCAAAATTCGAGATTACTCCTAAAACGATATTCTTCTTCTGTAAGGAGTCAAGTAGATCAATGGTACCAGGATATTTGTACCAACATTTGCTAGTACTATAGCAGCTTATGAGACTGTCAGCGATCTAGAAAAGAAAATGATAAATAAAATCAAAGGTCTTTGCATACAATAATTCAATAACAAGTAATAGAATCAATTAATAGAAAATAAGTAGAATAGAAAGGAAAAAAAACTAATTAAAGGAAAATTATTTTCATTGGAATTTTAGCTTTATTGTTAAATGATTTATAATGATTGAGTAAAAGTAAACCAAAAGTCATTATAACAATAAAATACCGTCAAATGGCTACGAATAAATTTAAAAAACTGAAATAAAGATAAATTAATCGATACAAGGACTTTTGATGTCAAATTAACAATATAAATAAAATAGAAAGGGCAAGAGTCAGTTATAAAATTCGCACAAATAACAAATTTAAAAAGTTAAGAAATAAAAATCGACTGCAATTAAATTAAATTAAAATTGAAACATAATCATAACATAACATGTTTCGGCTAGTTTGAGTCATCTTCAAATGTCATAAGAGAATACATCGAATAATTGTAGTGATAGAAGTAGAAAAAAAGGAATGTTACAATAGATTATTATCATTAATATTACCTTATCTAAAGTGTTTGTTGACACAGAGGCATGCTGCTCTTTAAACACATTATGTACAATCATTCTCCACCAGTTTCTCCATCCTAATCCGGTGTGCTTGCCGTATATCGGATGCTCTTTGCTAAGCTGAGCGAAATTGTTCTTGAAACTTCGCGCCAATTTTCTTGGCTCGATAAGTAAACCGTGCTGGGAGCCGATCTTAATGTAGTTTTCCTCAAGGTTGGTCATCAGCAATGTACCAGTCACATCGAAGGTTACGAGACGGGGTCGGATACGATTAATCATATTTCTAATGAGCTTTCGATGATTCTCAATCTCAAAATAGACACTTCGCAAAAAAACCAATTCGTGCCCGCAAAAATTATGTACGAACCGCACGAAAGATGAAAGTTCGGCGATAACGTCGACCTCTGATTTAGCGAGCAGTAAGTTGATTCAAACAATTGGTCGTTATATTATCGACGGGATCACCATCAAGTGCGTATTAAAAAAATTCGAGGCCCTTTTCGATCGAATGCACAGTTCATCTCGATACATTTTGCTGATAAGAGTGATGAACTAGAGATTGATAAAATTCTATATTTTTACTATAAAAAATTATAACCATATTAAAAAGCTAATGTAATAACATCAGAATTGGATATGTATTTGAAATAATTTTATTTGAAAGACAGTATTTTAAGATAATTGTATTTTGTATCTCAACAGAGCATATGAAAATACCTTGTACTTCATGGGCGCATATGAAAGTATTTTGTATTTTATATTTCAATATTAATAATAAGATTAAAAGTATTTTGTAACTTGAATTTCAAACACTAAGATTGACAATTAATCTTATTATTTAAATTACAAAATACAAAAAAGCTTCAATTTTTCGATTTTAAATATAAAATACTTTCTTGAGCTCCGCAGAAATGCAAAGTACAAAATACACTTGTATTATTATTTGCAAATAATGTACTTTAGATAAAACTATTTCAAATACATGCCCAGGCCTGCATTACATAAAGCTGAGACTTGAAAAAATTATGTAAAAAAATATTATATGCAAATAATGTATCTCACAAATGTTAAATGTAATGATATATCTACAATCTAGTTACCAGATGCCCTTTTTCTCTACGCAAAAACAGATTCGAAAGATACAATAACGGACTTGAAAGAGAATAGAGTTGCTCGCTTACAAATAAACTGATTTATTACAAAGTTGTACATGGATACAAGGTGGCGTATTTCTTTTCTTATTTTATAAAAAGGACCGATCGTCCCGTCCGTTGCACAACATTCCGGCCAAAATTCGAAAAGATTCCGGCCTACCGAGAACCGACGAGATTATCGCTGACGAGCGCGATATAATAATGATAATTATTAATATCCCCCTATAAAAATGTACATAGTATGTATAATATCCCTAATTATACACAATGATTGGAATTATTTTATACATATATATACAAATGCACTGTATATGAGTCGGTTTTACCAATGTCGATCATCAAGCTTAATCGTGATTAACTATCAACCGCAATTGGTCGATTCTATTAAACAGCAAACGCGATTGGTTAGTCAATGGCCGATTAAACTAACTGGTGGTGGTGAAACTGGCCCTATATATATGTAATAATAATAACCATAACGCGAGATAATAGATCATATAATATATATGTATATAATATAAATTTCTTGATCAAAAAGTCCATTCGTATTTTGTTTTATTAACATTTTTATCTCTCGTTAATATTTATTTCAATATTGACTTTATTTGTAAAAATTACATAAGAAAAACGAATGAATTTCTTGATCAACATAATATATTAATAATAATATATTAATTTTATAGCAGTCGTTGCTTATATTGTATTTAATCACGATTAATATTTGCACAAATAAAAAATTAATCGTATAATCTCACCTCTATACACACACGCACATTTAGAAATATTTATGTATTATACAATACATACATATCATTGTAAAAAAAGTTTACCCGCTAAATACATTGGTCAGTCTCACAATCATTTTTAATATTTATGCAAAATTTAATTCTCAATCTTTTCCTAAATCTCTCACAAAAGCTTCCGGATTTTTGAAACTTGTAGAAATATCTCGAGTTGAAAGATATATTTATCCTAAATAGAAAATACAATGTCAGCCAATGCCTTTTCTTATAATATATGTATAAATGTATCTATTCAAAACTGTACAAATAAAATTCTTGCATTTTTTATCGTTATTTTATTTTTTTTTTAAATTCCAAAATGTTATATTATTCTTTAGGTCCAAAAATTTAATTATCTAACTCAATATTTTATTGAGAACAAATTTACAAGTTCAAATTCAATTTACACAACATACACAAGTATAATCCAATTTTTAACGTTTATTAAATTTTAATATTTAAAGATTGCAAGATTTTAAATAAATTTATTCCAATAAATTTATTGTAAATTTAAAACTTATAAAAAATTTATGAAAATTTAAAATAATTTCTAAGCGATTTCTAGTAAAATAAAATCAATTTTATATGAAACGCTTGATTTATACAATTCACATCTCTCTCTCTCTCTCTCTCTCTCTCTCTCTCTCT